TTCAGTCACTTGTCATCTAGATCCAGCAAATTTATCTTTGAAAAAATTAGTCTTTGAAAAAAATTCTCATAACACAGAAGGTGAACATGCACTTTTTGCTGAAAACACCTCAGAAGCTTACAGACTCCCAGGAATACTTGTCGGCATACTCCTCTCTGGGAAAAAAAAAAAAAAAATTCAGATCAAATAAAAGCTTGAAAATGCTTACCTCCTAAAATATTAATCAACAAGATAACAGGAGAAGTACCACCAAACAAGCTGCTTAAAGTTTCTAGCCTAGTCAAAAGAAAAACAGATGAAGGTGCTGAGAGAATTGAATTCAATAGTATTCTGAAATAACATTAAGCTGAATTCTACAAACTTTCTTAATGATCAGCCTAGCTTGGCTTTTTCTAAGTAGCCTCCACTAACTCAAGTAATAACTAAGAATGTAGGATTAAGTAAGTCTTTAGTCAATGTCAACATTGCTCTGCCTTTTGCCTCCAGAGACATATTTACTTTTTCTGTTAATGAATAGCTTTGTGTTATTTCTATTTAAATATTATGTATTGCCCACTTCTTCCAATTTTTATTTGCTCCTTGAATCATCTGCAATTTAGCAGTCAGACTCATACCTACATCTTCAGTACATCAGAGTTTTTAAAAAAAAGTCACTGTCATCATTGAAGAGCACTTAATCAATAAAACCCCATTTCCTAAACAATAAAGTCATACCTGAAGCCCCTTCCAAACAATCATGGTTGATTTTAAAACCCTACTTACCATACAGTTCATGTTCTGCATGCATAGCAGGAGTTCTGTCTGTTGTTCTGTCATTTAAGAGCAACAGGCACATGCCAGATTTACAAGCAAATTATTCTTTCTTACTCTCTAAGTTCATGGAACCCCTTTGGAAAGAGCATGATCAATAAAGAATTTCCCTGGAGGATTATTTTTTTTTCTTACTTTACCCTTTTTGAATGAATTATCTCTGCAGTGTTTTTTATGCTTTGGAGTTCCTATTTATTCATCCTACCAACTTGTGGGTTATATTGTGTATGTGTGCAAATAATACTCTCACTTCCCATTTCTCAACAGCATATGCAAATGCTTATGTTTGCAATGGCCCTTGCACAAATAGTGCCTAAATTACATTCTGCCTCTTTTTCCTTTCTGTGCTTACTATGTTTCTGAAGAAGGAGTAACAGTAATCTGGGGCCTTCAGTCACTAAGTTTTATTATAGCAAACTGGAATTTGCTGTCCTCAAGTCATTCCAGAAGAAGAACTCTAATACAGCATGATATTGAAGAAGTGCTTGTTTGTACCTGAAATTTTGTCTGGTTTTCCAGTCACATTAGAATCATAGAACCATAGAATTTTTGTATTGGAAAAGACCTCTAGGGTCATTGAGTCCAACCATTAACCTAACACTGCCAAGCCCATCACTAAATCATGTCCCTAAGCAGGACATCTACATGTCTTCCACATACCTGCAGGGATGGTGACTCCACAACTTCCCAGGGCAGCCCAGCTGGCCTAATGAATGCTGTAGTGTTTTACTGCTACCACAGTCCCCCCAAAAGAGGCTTGTTTCAAAGAAGAAAAATATTGCATTTATAAGTTCAAGCAAACCTTATCAATTGTTCTCTGAGTAAAACTAAAACATGACATGGCTTTTCTATCTTCTATATCACCTGAGAAATTGAGCCCCAAGCAAAAGATTTCAGTCTGGAAGAGGTGACTCAATCTCACGGGTCCCACTCGCTGGGGTCCCAGTGTAGTGGCTCAGCTGTTTCCATAGCTACCCAGGTGGCAGTGGCTCTCACAGCCTCTCTGCTCTGGGAAAAACCCATCTGGTTTTGGGGCCTATGCACCCGCTGGGTATGGACCCTTACGAGCACTTTCCCCTAGGTTATCCAGGGGTGATGATGTAGCTATTGGTCTGCTCTCTTCTTTATACACCTTTGGAAAGAGAAGAAATGCTACTGAAGCTCTAGCACTGCAAATATTTGGTCCTTATTTTGTGTCTACAGTTAAACAGTGAACAGAGTTTACAACAGTGACCCAAATGGAAAAGGAACATTGGCTTCAGTGCTTCTTCTAGTCATGCCATGATTAAAGGGGACAAAAGCACGGGTGTGATTTAACCCTGACCAAACTGTAGCTTCTACAAAAGCTACTGACATCAAGCTTTGCTTTAGTGCAGACCTGGCAAAATAAAGAACACTTTCTCTTTCTTTTTTTTTTTTTTTTTAACTATGCAATATGGATATTTTAGCTTGTGAGGTTACTGACAGTTGTCACTGCTGCTTGTATAGCTGAGAGCGGGGCAAGGGTGGTGGGTTGATTTCCCAATTTCATGAACTAGTTAATCTGGCAACCAATTCAATATTTCTAGAAAGACCACAGTCCGGTTTTCAGATTTGGAAAAGTGGATACAAATGCCAGATATATTACGCAAGGTTGTATATCACCTAAATTGTGAACCAAGTGTCATATGTATAGATTCTGCCAGCTGTTGACTTGTTTTCACTGTTCACTATGCATTTGGTCTGAACAAATCAGTCCCATTACTTTATGTTCACAAGCCTCTGTTTTGTAGTAGGTTGAAGTCAAGGACGTTAAAATTAAAAATATAGTATCTTACTTTGCTTTGAACATAGTAAAGATTGCTTTAAAGAGAAGCTCATTCTGCATGTGTAAAAATGCAAATTGAATATGGTTTTACTTTGTACCTACCTGAGTTTTAATACTGCTTGTATATTTTAAAACACAAAAGATGTAGAAGTGCAGTCCTTATGTAAAATTCATCACAAATCTTCAAAAGAGGTTGGATATGACCAGTGACAAATGATGTTCCATAAAGCATTGCATGACTATTTTTAACATACCTCTCATACATAATTTCTCCTGCACTGACTGCTCAACAATATGAACATGTTGTAATATAAGCCATTATAAATGACAGGCCTTCATATCTCCACTTAATCTTTGCAGGACCCTTACTCACTTGACTTCATATAAGAAGCAAATAAAAACAAGTGATGTGAACAACTGGAACCATCCCAGCAGCCTAGCTCCAGCCATCTATTTGTATTAAGAACTACTGCATATTCCTGGTGAGTTAATGCTAATTCAAAAGATCCCAAGCATTTAACTTGTGTCACTGTCTTCATCTTTCCTTTACTGAGCAGTAATTTCCCTTTAGTTGAGATCCCAAAGGTTGTGTCCTCCCCCCACCAATATCAGCAGTCATGGATTCTAACCCTAAGGTCTATTATTCTCAAAATGCCTTTTTTTTTTTCCCCAGCCAAAACTTCATTTCTCCATCACTTTCATAAAAGAACAACTTTCTTGTACCTCCCACCTCTCTAAAATTGTTTACTTCAGCACCCTTCTCATTTTTCATCCACTACTTCCACTTTCATCCTTCACTGTAAGATAGATGATAAACGGCCCATGCATCAGCATGGATTGGCTTTCAGTCCCAGTCATGCCCACTCACTTTCTGCATCACAGGATTATCTGGGATCTGAAGAAAAGCTAGGATCCATCTCCCCCAGGCCATATTAAAGGCAGGCACACAAGAATCCATTTGCAGGCATCACGCTGCGGTTCTGGCCCCAACCTGTTATGAATGGGAACAAGGAAGAGTCAAAGTAGAACACACAGCAATGAAAAGAGTAAGCACTTCCCCCAGAAATTCCTGACTTCAGGTTACGTCTCCACAATGCACTGGGTGACTTTGCTGCAGCTTTGGCTATGTGTGAGGGCTAGAGAAGTTCTGTCCCCTGTGCCTTTTGCTAGTCATGTTGCCAGCATATTTACCCTTCTATAAAATGGAATGGTACCACACTGGATGCTGTGAGCCTTAGGTAAATATGACATTTCTGAGATCCTCAAAAGGAAAGGTAAAATCTTCTGAAGGTGAATTCTTCATCACAAAAATTTCTTTACTGAAAGGTTTAAAAATATTGGAATGAACTGCCTAGGGAAGTGGCATAGTACGTAGTGCCACGATTTGGTTGATATGGTGGTGTTCAAAGACTGTACTTGATGATTTTGGTAGTCTTTTGCAGGCTTAATTATTCCATGATCCTAACTTGGTGTTAGCTGTGTTTTCATTTCATACTCTGGACCTGCACTTTCTTCCAGAATCAGTCATTGTGTGTATCTGAGTAGATACTTGGAAGCGCCTCTTCAACCATCTAATTTGCATTAAAGGGCAGATGAGAAAATATTGCCTCTTGCAAGCCCAAGCACTCAGCGCGAACTCCCACCCCCCACTCCCTCCCAGAGCGACTCCGTGCATTCCAGCCTCCTCCCTGTGCAAACAGGGGGTGCGCACAAGGACAGGCAGGATGCTCCCAGCCACCGACTCTCATGCGTACTCGGAGCGAAGGATGCCACGAAGCACAGCTGCCTCTCACTGCACGGGGGAACCCCGGGGCCGGGGAGCGGGCAGCGAGCCGGGCGGCTCCCACAGGGAGGCAGAGGGCAGCGCTCCGTTCTCGGCCGCTGTCCCGCTCCCCGCCCGGCACCCCGGGCCGCCCAGCCCCGCCGCCCCAGCCTGCTCCGCCACTCGCTGCCGCCCCGGTAGTCCCGCCCCGCTGGGGCGGTCGCGGCTCTCTGCCGCCGGGGCCCGACGGGGTGCGGTGCTGCCGGCGGAGGGCCCGGGCCGCGGGGTGAGCGAGCGGGCTGCGGGTACCTCCTGCGGAGCTGCTCCGCCGCCTCCCGCGGCCCGGAGCCATGCCGGGCTCGCCCTTGGTGCCCTCGGCCCGACGAGGCGCCCGGGCCGGGAAACTTCGCCCGAGAGTTGAGGGGCGAGAGCGGCTTTCGCTGGCTCGCTGCCGGCCCGGGAAGGCCCAAGGCGGAAGAGCGGGAGGCGCTGGCGGAGCTCGGGGCAGGGGCAGGCGGGCTGTGCGGGGCAGCGCAGGGCCGTGCCGGGCTGTGCCGGGCCGTGCCGGGCTCGCTGCAGCCCCGGCCGGGGGGCGGCTGCCGGGCCGGGGGCAGAGGTGCTGGGTCAGGCAGGGCTCCTGCGCGGAGCGGGTGGAGTGCGAGGGGACGAGCAGCTCCTCTCTGCAGAAGCGCTTTACAGCACCAGATGATAGTTACCCACAGAGTGAGCCCCGAGCTTAGGCGGCTTCACTGTGTGAGTACAGCTACGCTGCTATTATTAGTGCTGGTATTTAATATTTGTACAGCCATAACAAGTTAAATATTGGAACTACGTCCTCTCTAGTACTCCTCTCCCGACAGTTCCTGAGGGTGTCTCTGTGAAGGAACAAATGCCTCAATCCAAAACTGGGACCTTCAGAGCCTGCCTTCAGCTGCCTCTCCATCTGGAAGCACCAGCAGCCCTCTGCAAGATGCTTCCAGAGTTGCTTAAGCTTGTCAGGGCTCAGCAGCAGAGCTCCAGACTTGCTTGTGTGCCCTGTTGGGACACAACACTACACCATGCATGTTCTCTGTGGCCTGAGGCTTGCTGCCCGTTCCCTGCACAGTTGCAGGTTCCCTGCTCCCGTGGCACCGGCTCGGGGAGCTGCGGAAGGGAGGTTCACCTCCCCTTGCCAAGCGTGCTTCAGTACGGTGGCAAAGCCACTGCTGGGCAGTGGCCTTGGATTTTAGCACCCGCTCTGCACTAGGTCTTGTGTTGTGGTCAGTTTGGTCATAAGTTGAAGCATACAGGTCCTGTTGGTGAGGAACTTTGGGGAGCCTAGCAAGTACTTGAATGTATGATCTCCAAAATACCTGTAAACATAATTCTTTTTTTTCAGGTGTCTGTTGTAACAGGTGGTATCTTTGGTATGCTAGAGGCTTGTGACAGTTCTTGAATGAAACCAGTTTTTAACTGGAGGTCACTTACTTCTGGGAAATTTTGTTTTACTTGTCTGAAATTCCCTTCTGCTTTACAGTGGATAAATTATTCAGCGTCCTCTGTCATAATATGTTCTGTAATATTTAAAGGTTGTTGCCTTCTTTCTGCTGGGGGCTGTGTTTCAGTGATGGGTGAAGCAATGCTTCTAATAAGTAGTTTTATATCATTTTGTCAGGTACTCTGGGATTGTTTTATGAAAGACTACATATGTGTCATTTATTATTATGAATGCCTCTTATGTTTTGGAATTTAACAGATGTAATATTTGCCATCCTGTCACCATCATCACATTTGTTTTCATAGTTATAATCAAAGGTGGCAACAATGGCATTCAGATGCTCAATTATATTTCATGTAGGTGACCAGTGCTAACTTACTAAATTAGTGCATGGTGCAGCAGGAACAAGTGTCACAGCTTCCCTCTGTTAGGAGCCATCAGCTTGCTTCTCACACATAAAAATCAGTATATAGTGAAGCATATGGCACCAGTGAGTTCTGTGTTTATTAAAGGACTATGCCTCTGAACATTCTGTGAATTTTTTTCCTTATTTCACTTGATATAGATCTAAAATGTTTTTCCCATCTTTCAGGACTTGAAATATTGAACAAATCCATTTTTTAGTCAGATGAAACCAAGACTTCTTAAGGTTTATGAAAACAGTGTGAGGCTTCTGCTTGTATCAGACTGGCCACTAGTCCGGTATGAGGGAATTAGAGATCCATCTAAGCTGTGGAAACCTAAGATACAAGTCTCTGGTTTGATTCAGAACAGTTTTGAACTCTTTTACATTTTCTGCATTTCTGGAAAATTTGATTGCCAGATGTATTGGAGGGTAAGTTCTAAGAAGAAACTACATCCTCTCAAAACTGGTAGGGTAGCTTTTCTGCTTCAATGTCATTTTTCTGGTCACAAATTAAAAGCTTCCTCAGAATTTTCTAAGTAGTGGTCATGTCTGATAGTAATATGTATGTTGTAATAATCCAAGAAAAGCTTTTATCCTAACAAAAGCCTGGGATATGTTTTACAAGGTCTTAACTACTCAGATAAAAAGGAAGCAAGAAGGAAGACCACCACCATCATCTCTTAGATGACAGCTTTAAGTAAATCACATTTTTGTACTTGGATCTCAGAATGTAGAATCACTCTTCTCAAAGATATTCTGAAATGGTACTGCTGTGTAGCCAAAGCCACAGGGTTTTTCATGAAGTAACATCTATGGAGGTGGTGGGATCAAAGAACAATATGTTACCTGCTGAACTACTCCCTTTTTCTGTTCTTTTGGAATCTCATCTCTTTCCTCAAAATGTAAAAGGAGAATTGTTTTATCCCACAGTTGTCTTTGCCCTGTCCAGAGTTACTACAGTGAGGATTAGTAATCAAGTGAAAGGAGTGTACCTCTTTTTTTGCTGTGATTTGTGTACCTTTTGGCAGATGGGTCATTTTCAGATGGGTCTGGAAATCTTCAACTGGTTTTATTGCTTGAACTCTGGTGTTCTATAAGCTTTATTTTAGGACTTTGTTCTTTGTTGTTCACTTTAGACTAGGTAGACAGGATTTTTTTTTTTTTAAACAGATAATAGTTTCCAGGACAAAAATACTGAGTTTGTATCTTCTTTCAGAAATTTTGTGATACAAAAAGGCAAAACAGTGGGAAGGTTCTGTGTCCAGTTCTGATTAAGACTGAAGATTCATCAATACCTGGAAAAGAAATAGAAGGATATGTAGGCGACCTGACAATTTAGTCAACTTCTGTGTGTTGGTTGTTCCTAGCATTCCACTGTTGTATCCAGATGGGAGTAAGAATTTAAAAACAGGAGTTGTATAAGCAAGAGGTCATTGACTCTGACCACTGACAAAGCAGGCAGACTGTAAAGTTTCTGAGGTAAAAGATACTCCTTGAGCTACACCCATCAGCTGTGAGCTTTTCCTTGACTCACATTAACTTTTCTTGTGTGGGCTTGTTTCTTTAGAGCAGAAGTGGATCTTGAGAAGGACATACAGCTTCCATTTCCTGCCACAGTCACAGAGAGCAGTCACAGTCCAAAGGCTGTTCTCAGGGTATTTTTCCCATTAGGTCTTCAGATTGGTTGCAAATTTTGTGATACTGTTGTTTGCAGTAGTGGGACATTGAATTCAGTTCTTTGCCTCTAAGCTCATCACTCCCTAGTAAAGAAGGTGGTTTTCTGGAAGCCCCTGCTTTTTTCAGTTGCTGCAGTCTGTGATAGTGAATGAGACTCCAAGCAAATTGCCTTTTCCAACATGTGTGGCTTTACAGATCTTAGTGGATCAGTGACTGCTGTGTTCTGTGGCAAAATTGACGTTGGGGTTCATTCATCTGAATTTTTCTAGATATTAATGTTCAGTCTTGATCAAGAGGTAGTAATGCATATCACTCATCCATTGCTTAGATTTGTGTGGTGCATTTCTGCATGTGAAGATCATGAAATGGTTTGATGTGACTCTGTAGGACTGTACAAGCAAGTGATAATGCTCCACCCAGCATGCTTACTGAAATGTTTAAACTCATGTGAAAATATGTGTATGTGACCTCAAGCAGAGAGAAAACCAATGAAAGTCAATGAGAATAACAACAAAGAGTGGAGTTAGGATATATGCTTGTTTCAGATTTGAAATTTAGAGTAAACGAAGGCTGGATATGCATTCCTGAAAAGGAGACTTTTTTCCCCTACACCTTGTTTCCTCAAAAGAAAGAGAATATGTGCTTGTACCCCAGAACCCTCGAGAAGCAAATGTGAGTCTGTTAAGTCTTAAGAATATGAATGTATGTATCAACATGCAGGACTTAGCCCATATTTGCATATAGCATAATGTGACTTCAGTTCTGATTTTTGGCCTAAAAACACTATGTGTGCATGTAAAATATAATTAATGTAATGTTTGACCCTGGAGGAGAATTTTTATCTGACCTTTTATCAGGAGTAATTTTGGAAGCTGCCCAAAATGTAAAATCCCCTGAAGTTCTTCTAAAGAGATGTTAATGAAAAAACACTTAGGGGTATGCTGGTCTCAGATCTCTGAGGAAGAGAAACTTCAATGTGACTTTGCTCAGAGAAGCCTAGATTTTGAGACTTATCTGCACAGAAATAAGGTAAAATGGAAGTCTGATTATTCTGGTCACAACAGCTAAACTTTAACCAAATTGGAAAAAAAGTGCAAAGTTCTATATAGGAGGTGACTTGGACTCTGCTTCTTGGGGCAAATCACACGTGCTTGCTTTGTTCCCCAAGGTTTGTCCACCCTGTGAGACGGGTACGAGACACTGCACTTGTCCTGGTGTGACAGTTCAGCTGTAAGGAACATGACCCTCAAACCATGCAAAGCTGGAAGGTCTGTCTGCCATGAGCTTAACCAGAGGGAAGATGCTGTAAGAATTTTCTTTCCTTTCAGGTGAACATTTAAAAGCTTTCCTTCTCATTTACCCAGATCCTTATCTGAGTGTGCTTTTCAGACGTCCTGAGGCCTTTCCCGTATGTGTACTAGTGTTTATGTTTCTCTTTAAATTTAAGTGACTGCTTTTAGATTGTACAACACTGACAGTGCTACTCAAGTAATGTAGCTGCTATGGAGTGTGTGTACCTGCATATTTTGGTGGGACTTCTCTTTATCATAGTTGGATTATATAAGGCTTTTGTAAAGATCTCCTAATTCTTTTTCATAGCACATAGTGCAACCTGATACAAAGTCTTACTTTTAGTATTCTTTCTCTCTTCTGTAGTGGAAAGGTTTTTTGGTTGCTCAAACCATATGTAGAAGATTTAGTAAAAAGCAATATTTAGTGTTTCTTTTGGCTTAACTTCTTAAGGAAATATGCTTTTGAATGGTTTGGGGACCTACATGGTAGGTCATTGAAGGCCACAAAATTAACCCACTATTCTGAGTATTTCCAGAATAATGTGTTTTGTGAAAAAATGCAGCAAGGTAGAATAGATGATGCTTTTTAAATAATCTGCCCAAGAATTCTCTAGGCTTTGAGTCTGTTGGCCAATTTCTCCCATTCAAGAGCTTACACATCCAAAATGGTGATGCTTGTATGCATGCTGCATGAAAATACAGCCACCCAAGGGTGGGAAACAAAGACTGGCCCACAAAGGGAAGAGCTGCAGCATATGCTCCTGTGGGCTTAGGCACAAGTTTGTGTGGGAGAGAGGCACCATAAGTGTTCCCTTCCTTTCTCATAAAAGCTTTATTCAAGGCACGAAAAATCTCCAGTGTGACATCGTTCCTTAGGACACAAAGCCTTGAGTTAGCCTGAAGTTCAGCAAATCATGATACTCACATAGCTCCATTTTGGGAGAGGAAAAGGACCAATGCCACTTCTGACCAATGTCAATTCTGAAGACAGGGAAGAACATTTATGACTTTTAATGGAAATAATCTGTCACTTTCAGAGCAGCATATCTGCCATTTCTACAGAAGACACCCAAGTTTGCCCAGAAACCTCAATTTTTGCAGTATTTCCACTCATCTTCAAATTCTTTTTCTTAGGCTGAATAACCCAAAAGCAATATAAGACTTGTTCTCTCATGTAACACAAACTAGTGATGGTGTGAGATTGCCTGTTAGGACTACAGTGTTACAGGTCTTGGACACCTTTGCCGTGACTGGTTTACGGGGATTTGCTGGACTAAATGACAATTGAGTCTGCATCTGTCCTGGAGCAAATGCAAGTTCTGTCTTCCTGCTGCACTCAGCCACCCAGCTGTGCCAGGCTCAGCTCCACAACCCCTGTAGCTGTGCTTTCTTACAACATGCATGAGCGAAGAAGCCATGTTTGCTGAAATCTGTGTCCAAGGGAGTGCTGGGTTTCAGGCGTGTTTGCACTGTAATTAGCACTCGTGAATATATTTTTGAAGAAGGTGGAATAAATCTGGGGAGGTTAGAAAGCTTGCTTGTCTGGTGGGGAAGAACTGTGCAGGCAGTGCTGAATTCCCTTCTGTTAACCTCTACATGGTTGGCAGAAACATGAGGGAAGAGAAAAATAAGGTTTTTTAAAATTTTTCCTGACATAGTCTGCACGTGTTCTCTTACCCTGTGCCTCTCCTCTTCTTTTGTCTTGCTAACTTCTTCCCTTGTCACAAAATGCTTACATGTGGGGAATGGTGAGATAACACAGCATAGACTAACTAATAGTAATTTCCTACAGATGTGTCACATATTTCTAATTAGTGGCTTTTCCATGCTCTGTAGGGGTTGCTCAAACTAGATTTGAATACTCAGAACATTTCCTCCATCTGTAAATATATAGTGAGCCTGTGCTGTATCACATTTCCCAGGGCTGTGTGGTTATAAAGGAAAGACCCACTTAAAATGCACTTGTTGCAGCCAGGGCAGCCCTTGATTCTAAATGGCAGCTGTGTTTAACTTTTTCTGGGTACAGTTAATACCCACTGAGCCATTCTTTTTGCTTTTTTTTTGGTAAATTTTATGTCACAGCAATCTGGATTTAATGTTGCTCTAATCTCACATTGTAATGTAAAGACAATGAAATGATTCTCACACCAGTCTACAGAGAATCTGTGCTAATGCTATTAAAATGTGCTTACCCAATCAAAACAAATGCAGAATTAGCATATGGAAACTGTGTTTATGTGATTATAATGTTTCAGCAATATGAGATTACTGTAGGAAGCAGCTAATCCAAACCTAGGGGGACTTCCCATTACAAGGCCATTAAAATGACACAATGACTGAAGCACACATTTCAGATGGGAAAAGTGGAAACATAAATCTTGTCATCAGTATTCAGACAAAACATCTATTGAACTCAGTGGAGTTTTTACCAGAGTCAGGAATGCAGCACCATGACCTTTTTGGTAACAAATCTCTTTTCTCTTAACAATACCTCTAGGAAAATTATTTACTTCACCAGGATTTGATAGTTGGCTAATGGTGAGAGTTGAATTTTATGCACCATACAGTTGGTGGTTATAAAGATTTGTTCAGAATTTATTACAAAAATGGTAAGGTAGTATTTCATGGCTTTTGTGAAATAATAAAAGTTTTGGTTACATCTTAAAGCAATTTTCTCATTTTTTAGTCTGAATTTGTAATTTTCAGGAAATATAATTTATCTCTCTCTTTATACAGCACCCAGGGCTGAGAAGTCTTGGTCTGTGCAGGAGCTCATTGGCAATACCACCACATAAATTAGCGATTTTCAAAACCAAAGTAGCTGTTATTGCCAGATATTAACCTACCTATTTATCTTCTGTGATAGGAATCAGAACATTTTCCCATCCCCTCAGGCAGGGTTAAGATTAAGGAAATATAATTGTCATATCCTGTGTAGAGCCCTCTGAAGTATATTGGTTTTGTCCTGGTTTGTTTCTTGGCTCAATCCTTAGTCCATGTAGATAACATTAGAGGAAGTGACTTGTCCTGTCCTTTTACAGGCATTAAAAATAAGCTGGATGAATTGCCTATAGATATGTCCTTCCATCTCGAGATGATTGTTCTGTAGTAGACATACATAATTTAAATGGCTAAATGAGATGATATGAATGCAGTCCTTGGTGTTTGAAAGAAGAAACTTTTTCAAAAGAAAGTTCTGTATAAAATATGGTGTGCAAGTCATGAGTAAACCACACAAACAGTGATTCCTGTAGTAACATATACATGCTTAAATTAAGTAGGAATCCTGATTCCATTTAAAAGCTATTTGCACCTAAAATCTGTTTTAAAAATACGTAATTCTGATTCAATCAGGTGAATCTTACTAGGAATAATGTATCATAGCATAACCAGGGCAGACTCTTTATGTGAATGACAGTTCGGAAGATATCAGGACAGTGATTTCAAAAATAATTCCAGTCACAGGTTATCGACTGTCTTTATTTTCTGTAACTCTTTTATTAAGAGTGGTGGGTTTCTAAAACTGTGTCAGTTAACAGGAATAGGCATTAATATTAATACATTCTTCATTAAGATAAAATAAGGCCTACTTTAAATGCTGTTTGTGTCAGTTTCAATTTTTTGTGATGCTTCTGATATTTATAAAAATCCTTGGCCTCAGTCAAAAGGTTCTGTAAATTCTGTATGCGAGCTGTGATCTGAAATCTAGAGTTTAAAAATAAACAGGCTGATGTCTGCTACAAGAGTAACCTGGCACAGGAGCTGGTAATGGATTTGTGTCAAGCTTTATCAAAAGAAACTAAATACTTGTGTATTTACTTGTATATTTATGTTTGGTTTGCTAACTTTATAAATGGATTGGAAAATTGTCAGTGAACATGGGGAAAGAGAAGTGCGAATCTAATGCAGAGGGTAGTTATCACTCTGTGCTGTTAGGGTTTTACTGAATGCCAGAGTGTAGATATTTAACATTTTAAAAAGAGGGAGGGGCAAAAAAATAAAGCAAAGGTAATGCTTAGAATTATGTCAGTTGCTTTGCTGTACATATAAGAATGACTCAGATCATTGAACTTTCTCCAAAATAGTGGGTTGCTCTATATAGAGCACCAGCCTTCTTCAAGGATGGAATTAATGACTGTTTAATTGAATTGCAGCTAGGAGAAGTTTCTGACTAAGACAGGTATTTTGGTTTTAATTATTTGCTCAAGAATAATATTTTATGGAATCATGCACTTCTTAATCTGTTTGGAAGAAAAATAAATCATCCTATTAATCAGCCAGCAGTCTGTTCTATGAGAGTAAATTATTCTTCTATCTTCTCAAACAAGTTAACATGCTAGTTAGGAACAAAATTCCTAAAAGAACAGTTCTTCCTAATCAGCTTTTACACAAGGCAAGTAAACATAGTCAGTCAGTCATTTCTTTTTTATGGATGGCCAACTCTTCATATTACAATGAGCACCAGCACTCTAGACTTCACTGGGCAGGCAATAGCTGCCTTTTCCAGAGGCTGGGTCACTTTTGTGCATTGGTGCTCTGACAGTGACTGCTTCTCATGAGATCAAAGTATCCCCAAAGAGATCTTGATGTTTCTGTGCCCTTTGATATGTGGAGTTCAGTGCCCTTCAGATTTCAGTTTTTCTGTCATCCTGGTAGATTAACTTTAGCAGTTAAAAGGAAAATGTCCTCTGAGGGCTTTACCAGTAACAAACCCATGTTTATGACATTATTCACTAAAAGGGAGGCAGAAATGGGAAAGACCTCTCTCTTTAATCAATAATGCATGCTCTAGTTAGTCCTTTCCTCTGGACATGATTAAACATGTATTTTGTTTCATAACTCATGATTTTGGTTGACTAGGGATTTTAACTATATATCCTCAAGCCTTTGTGACTAGCATCTGGAAGATCTAACATGAACTGGTTAGTCAGGACTAACCCCCCCTCCCAAAAGGGAAAAACCCGAAAATCCCAATGGGGAGAGCTGCAGTAAATTCTAACCTGCAGTGAGTTAGGCTAAATTGGCACAGGGCCTTTGACATGAACCAACTGCAAACTGTAACCTCAGTGTCTGTCTTTGTCACTGCTTGGTTGAAGTTTTGAGAGGTAACATTTTTTCATTGATATTAGAGATGAATTAAAAAGTGTCTGAGATGCTGAACCACATATAAATTGTTAGATTAAGGTCTGTTCTTAACTGGTAAAATATTTGCCCACTGAAGCACTTCAGCTTCTCCACCGCTGTTTGTGGGCCGTGCTGTATCTTTGGTGGCTGTTGTCAGCCTCAGAGTAGTGGTCCTGGGCTGTTCCAGTCCTCCAGAACACAGCTGGTAGGAGAACCTGAGTCCTGCTGAAGCCAGAGAAGCAGATTACTGCCCCCACCCCTGCATTCCACATGGAGAGGGGCAGACAAGGTGCCCAAACAGACTGTTTTCCCAGCATGTGAGAGGGACACTGAGTCTTGGAGGCCAGAGATAAATACACTGAACATACCAGTAAGGAATATTCAGCCTTGGTGCCAAGTGTGTTCATCTCGTGGCTGAAGCTGACAAAATTTGACAGCTGCTGAAGAGAAAAGAATCCTAAATGAACAAACAGTGGTTTTATTAAATAAGAAACATTTATCCTAATGTGATCCTGACTGCAGCACAATAAATAATAACAGTTTCCATGTACTGGAATGTGATGTATTTATGTTGCTGGGGTACTGATACACAGTTGGGTAAAATAAATGCCTTGTTTTTGATACTGACCACCTTGCTACAAACAGCTTTTGGAAACATCCCAGCAAACACACACAGAGTGTAGGTACATGTGCAAGAGGGAGGAGGGATTTCAGAAATCACCTAAGAAAATCATGGTCTTTCTGAAATGGTTTTTTTCCTTTCTTCTTCTTTCCCAGATTCCTTTAGGATCTGATTTTTTTTCCATTTGTTAAAGAAAAATGCCTTCCTTGAGTGGGAAAGTGCAGACTGTCTTGGGCCCTGTGGAGCCAGACTGTCTTGGCTACACATTGACTCATGAACACTTGACTATGGACTACAGCAGCTGCTTTTGTCCACCTTCTCCAGGCCAAGAGCCTTTGTCTAATGGGCCCATTGAGATGAAGAACTTGTTTTGGATTAAGCAAAATCCCTACAGCCATAAAGAAAACCTTCTTTTGTATCAGGAGACAGATGCTGTGAGGGAGGAGCTGCTGCATTTTAAAGCAGCTGGTGGTGGGACAATTGTGGAAAACACAACAACAGGAATTGGCCGGGATATGAATACTTTGAAGAAACTTGCTGAAGAAACTGGAGTTCATATTATTGCTGGTGCTGGGTTTTATGTGGATTCCACTCATTCTTCTCAAACACAGGCCATGACAGTGGAGCAGGTAGGTCTTAACCATTGCTTCAGTGCCTCTGTCCTGTGAATTATCCCTGGGTAAACCAAAGTTGGAGACAAGTGCCAGTAAAATAGATGGAATACAGAAGTGCTCAGCATAGAAAACAGGAACAGTATTACTGCTTGTGTGTAATATCAGGAGCAGCACTACTTTCATATGCTTGGTTTATCTGTCAGAATTTCCAGTTCTTACGCTTCATTTTCTTTGAGGGATTTGTTATAATGCAACAGTAAAAGGAAAATACAGTATTTCGTGTCTGGACATTTGGTACACCACAAACTATCTTGAGTTTTTTACTGTTTTTTAAGGAAGGAGTTTATCCTTGCTACCTCTTCTGTCACTTTTTCTGGCTAATTGCTTCCCAATGAGTTTACCCAGCATTCTTATATGAAGTATAAATAATTGCAATGTTTATAGGACAGTTGTAAATCACTGCTCTGCTCAGGATGTGTGTTATAGCTCTCTTCTCTATCATTTGTCCAGGCTTTACAGGGCATAGTCTACATCAGCCTGTTTGTACAGTGACTAAGACAATGTGTTAATAATACCTGAGGTCCCCAGATGTTCCTGTAATAATAACTATTCATCTTTTATTAAGAAAATATGTTGATGAGGAGAAGAGGGAATGGAGCTCTCCAAGGTAGGAGGCTGTGAATGTGTATAAGTGGAGTTGACAATTTAAAAAAAAAAAAAAAAACTGTCACAGTTTACAAATGAGTCAAATTAATTTTAAAAATCAATGGCCAAAACTTGAGCAGTGCTGCCAAAAAAACTGGACCCAAGCTGGCCCAAACTACACAAAGGTACTGTTTTTCCTAAATGTTCTTCCATTGCTTGAAATGCAAATAGCATAGACACAAATAGATTTCTCAAGGCAAAGTTTTCTCTTTTCTGTTTGATGGACTGATGGAGACCCACAGATTTCCTGTACTCAGCACTTAGAATGAGCCATCATCACAGTGCCTTAGAAGGCCATCATCAGTACCATTTTGTGCTCCCAGTTCTAAATGTATGCTTAAGATAATATGGCCTATTCTGGGAGAGAAAAAGTAAAGCTTTTATAACAAAATAGTTTTATTAAGAGATTCTGATGGATTTTGTCTATGCATGCTCTAAAGCAGGGTAATTTCGATCCTGTAAATTTGTCAAATGAGTTTTGTTTCTGTAGTTCAGAAGATCTCCTGTTGTTTTACATTGGCATTCCCATAAGCAGGTTTTGCCTTTAAATTTGTCTCTTCAGGATGCTTGCCAGAGTTTCTCTCTTCCCTGTATGTATGACAAGGTTTCCTTATTCTCTGATCCTGTTTTGCAAAAACTACATTGAATTGTGTCTGATGCCAATTCAAGAGTACAAGGCAAAGATTTAGAATAAACTAACCTTTGCTTTTTTTAAAGAAAACTTAATGTCTGCCTAAATCAGAGTTCAAATTACATGTAGACCAGCTTTCTTGGCAAACCTGGACAAATGTGTGACTGGATACTGTTAAATTGATTTGCTTCTGTGTTTATTTTGGTCTTAGTGAATGGCTAGCATAACATTAGTTGACAGAAACCAGATTTTAACTCCAGTGTTTTCACACACCCAGCTGTTAATTAAATAAATTCAGAAAGACCTTGGGAGCATAACTAGCCCAGCGTCCATAGGCCAAAATTTATGCTATTTAACACAGATAGTAATAATAACCAAAAATCTCCTTTTCCTGTTCTCTAGCTGACAGAGATTATTGTTGATGAGGTACTCAAAGGAGCAGATGGGACTAATATAAAGTGTGGTGTGGTGGGAGAAATAGGCTGCTCCTGGCCTTTGACTCCGAGTGAACACAGAGTGCTTCAGGCAACAGCACAGGCTCAGGCACAGCTGGGGTGCCCTATTATCATCCATCCTGGCAGGAACAGCGACTCCCCTTTCCAGATTATCCGCATCCTGCAGGAAGCTGGGGCTGATGCTTCAAAGACAGTCATGTCTCACCTGGACAGGTAAGGAGACTATTCTGCTGTGCTTCCTGAAGTGTTGCCACAACTCACTGGGGTTTCACAGGACTACACTGGGAAAAGGTGACATAGAGTTTACCCTCAAGTTAACTGACTCAAAAATAAGTGCTTATATAGAGCTTGATCTGCCTCCAGCACTTCAGTCCACTTCACTCCAGGATCAGGTTTTAGATTGACATTGATAAGAGATTTTGGTATTTTAAATGCTGTCTTTGAAAGCCTGGCAGAGGGATTAGGAATAACTGTAGCTACATTTTAAAAATGAGAATTTCATTAATTTGTATCCATGCACAAATCCCTGTATTTACAAAGCATTGGACACTGAGCAGCTCTCGCTAAATTGGGTTGGAAGTTGCTGGGCTTCCAGTGTTTTTGAAAACTGGGTCACTCTTAATGGCCTTGCCAAAATTCTCACAGAAGCTAATGGAGATTTCCTTAATTTGTCTCGAGTCTGGATCAAAGCAAAAGGCAGATTTTTAATGTTCTACTACCAGACAGAGGAACTACTGCTTAAAAAGAAAATAGTTGGGTTTTGGATAGTCCATAGCATAGACCAGATAGTTAACTTTTAGTTTCCTTGAGAGCAAAAACCAGGAGCTTGGAGATGCACAGAAAGAAATTGGGATGCTTTTCTGTCTCCAGCTTTGAAATACAGTTCTACAGTTTTACAGAAATACAGTTACAAATCAGTTTTGTATGACCTTGTGTTGCTCATGGTGAGCTGGAGTATGTCCAAGCATTGATTACTTTGGCCAGTCACTGAATAATGGAGACTATTTGTGGTCATATGATTCTCAGCAATTGGATTGTTTTCCCTCAGTGTGAATGTAATACAGACAACAGCACTGTGCTCCAGATTTCTTATGGTTACAGGCTCTAAGAGCTTGCAAATCGAGCTGCAGGTGCTTGTTATTCACACAGAGCTGCTTGTTTTACTTGATAATTTTAGGAGCATAAAATTAATGCCATGAAATTGTATTTGAATGTTTATAAATTACTTCCTTTTTGTATTTACCTGTGTTCCACTGTATCTATAGCTGCATTTTTCACCCCTTTTTGAGAAAAAAACTGATTACTTAAATCTTTTTATGAAAGAGGACTGAGCAAGCTGCAGGCATCAGTACTTATGTAGCCATTTTGATACAACATAAACATACAATTATGGCTTCTTGCCTCTTATACACTGTTTTAAATTGTTGAATTAAATAATTAATTGATGGAAATTAAGCAATATAAGTAGGAAAACAGAGGCGCAGTTTCAATAACAGCTGCTGATGCACAATATGACATTTCCTTTTATCTCTTTCTATCATTACTTTCACACATTCAGGTTGGCACTTGCTATAACATAAACTACTGTGAAGTTTGGCTTTGCAACGTGCATTTAACATTTTAAGTCTCCTCCAGTAAGAAAAATCCATGTGGGAGCATCCTAGTCCCTTAAATGTGAGATAAATTTGTACATAGCTCCATATTTCATGTTTGCATTTCACAGACAGAATGGTAGTTTTCCAGTGGATTTACAATTAAATGATAAAACTAAAATGCTAGTTACCATGTCTTGCAATTTAAAAAAAGGTATGGATCTACAGTGTACTAAAAGGCTGGAAGCAAAAGCTATTGAAGACTCTGCTTTAGCCATTTGTTAGGGGTTAAGGTTATAAAGGACATCAACATGGTGACTCAACTTACTTGAGTAACTTTTGTTAGAAGACTCACAGCAGCTGTTGCGAATTTGGGGCATCATAACAGTTTGGTGTCTGTCCCCATGGTATTTATGGCTGAGGTCCCAATTACAGGGTGCTTCACCATATCCCACCTCTTTTTCCATGAGCTCAGGGCTGTTCAGGGACAGTGTTGCCCAAACACCCAATTGCAGCTCAGAGATCAGCGATTTGAACTGGGAACTGCTGCTGTTGCTACATCCTTGTGGTTCACAGTGGGACCCAGGGCCGAGGAAGCTAAGTTCCCTGGCTCTTTGATGGGATAGAACACTAACCATAGTTTTCAAAAGAAACTGTTCTGGCTGTGATTTTGAAATGGGTTGTGGGGTGTTTTTCCACCTGCACAGGATTGAATACTCTTGGTGACTGTCTCCCTGTGAACTGAACAGGGCTGGATCTAAAATAATCTGTTCTTTGGCTCTGCACTTTGAAAACTCATTTGGTGATAAATGTTCAGTCTCTGTAAACTGTAACATTTATTTTAAAATAACATTTTTTATTAATTACAGTTGGCAAGTCTTACACTCCTGCTGATGGCAGGCTTGTTTGAACATGGATTTTCTCTCTCTCAACCCATCTGTTCCTCCTACTTGATTGGTTGTTAACTCATAATATTGAAATTATGACATCCGTCATTTCCATAGTAACAGACAGTGATGTAATTTTATAAGATAAAACTGCTTTGTGACATCAATATCTACAATAATAATTAAAAAAAATCCGTCAACAAACTACTGCCCATTTGATTAACTGTTCTGCTCTTGTGGAAATGTGGTTTCTCCTCAAAAAAAAAATTAATTATAGGAGCTATAAAGCTCAAATTGTATCACTTGAGTGTTTTTGTTTTTCTTTGAACTGTTTATACACTTAGTAAAAATGGTTCAAAGAAAACCCCAAATATTCAAGAGAACTCTTACTTCTGTTGCTGTTTTTTCCCAAATGAGTGAGAGGTGCTAGAAGCTTTGTTCCTTCACTTTTCAAATCTGTTGCAAAGCCCATGTCCCAGATACTCAAAATGCCATTATGTATTTTGGTGTGAGCATTACTTTAAGGCATTCTGGCCAGATCCCAGTGCAAACAATGATATATTGCTGCTCTAATGGCAATCTAGAAACATCACTGTACAGAATAGAAACTAAAGACAAAGTTGTATATTACTGGTGTGTGATGGATGAAACAAGCCCTGGGTGAAGCTGTCTCCTGTAACTCTTTTGGGAAAGTAAATCTGTCTCATGTAAGTAATCCATTGTCTTTTTTTTTGTATCACTATGAATTAACCTCCTCCTTAAATGTCCTTCCTTGTTAGGTTGTCTGTTGAGAGGGTTAATGATATCAAGAGTAAGTAACCTTCCTGTTTCCATTTAAAGATTATTGTAGAGGTTTTCATTATTTCATGGGGAAAGAGTTGATTTTGTTTTGGTTTTTTAATGCATGAAATACCAAATGAATGTAAGAAGGACAATGCTGTGTGTCATCATAAGTGGCATGTATCAAACAGGAGTCATGTTTTTCAAATGGGTGAATTATATTGTAGATTATTGTTTTTTTCTTTGCAAGTAGGAGGTCACAAAGTACCTGTCCTCATACCATAAGATGTTTTATTCCTGTTACAGTGCTGACTTTCTGTTATATATGTTCTGCAGGACCATATTTGATAAAGAGAAACTTCTTGAATTTGCTAAACTTGGATGTTACTTAGAGTATGACCTATTTGGTACAGAATTCCTTCATTACCAGTTCCATCCGGATATTGACATGCCGAACGACAATGAAAGAATTGCAAGGTATCTGCTCCCATGCAGTTTTAGCTATAGCATAGCCACTGATTAAAAAATATTATTGATAAAAAAATACTTGTTTTAAGACCATCACAGAGTGACTCTGCTTGTTGTTCAAAATTGTCTTCTGTCCTACTGAAATAATGCCATTTTCCCCTGCTGCTGTCACGCCATTAGAGCAGTATGTATCATTTCTTCTTTCTGGGGGGAAGATTCAGAATCATAGTGTTGTAGGAAGTTACTTGAGAAGAAGATCAAGAGCTTTTTAAACTTCATTCTCTGTCCTAATTCCATGCTCATCTGGTCAAATTTATAGTCTGTAAAAAGGAAAAGTCTGAAAACACTGCATTTATGTTAGGATTAAGTGCTTCTGTTTGAAACACAGTATTGGAAACTTAGTGCTGCTACTAAACATCATCTCAGCCTGTTATATTTCCTCACTGGTTTGCTATCCCAGCAAAACTCATTGCTTGTTTTGGATGGATTTGTGCTTCCATCCTGGAAAACTGCCTTTTTTCTTCCAAGCACTTTATCACCTTTCCTCCGCCTGTCCTTTTGCCCTTTCTCTGTTTTGAAGGATGTGATTCCTGTCTCTTCAGAGCTCCCATTCCCCTCACACTCACAACGTGAAAATATTGGTCCCACTGGCAGGATACCTCTTCCCTGCTTCTCATCAGCACCTGCAGTCTCAGCTCAGCTGCACGGCCAATCTGTTGTGCTGTGTTAACACAAAGTTTTGCCAAAGAGATACATTCTGTACAAAAACTGTCTGAGAGAAGGTAGGATCAGCTGGGAATGGACACCTCACTCCTTCTACTCCATCTGGAGGTGTGATGCTGCCATGCTGTTTGTCCACAGTGTTTGTGAGCAGTGAAGTGGCAGGTGTCTGAGGGGTGGATTGCCATCTTGCCTGTGTCTTTTTACCTTCCAGAGTCACAAACAGTTCTTTCACTCTCCTTGATGAGAAATATTTTATGATTGCTGATCACTAATGAAGTAACTTCTAGCTTTCCCTTACATCTCAGACGTAGTTTCGCTCCCCCTCATTGTCAGATTAATCTCAAAACGAACCTGTTTTCAAACTGTTCTCTCTTAAGGAGGTGCTGTGGCTATTCTTCCACCCTCCCAAGCATTTGCTGCTGCTTTTCACACTAGAAATTGTTTCTTTCTTAACAGTGCTCTCAATATTGCACTCAGTATTTTAAACTGTTGCAAGGAACCCACAGTTTTTGCATTTAGGTTGAGTAAAGTTGCTTCCTCTGCTGTGCCTCCTGCCCTCTCCTGTGCCATGGAAAGTCAGCATCTACAGTAGCACTGGGGAATATATAGAGATGACTGGACTAGGCCTTGGTTAACAAGAGCGTGTTCAGCTGTGGCAGTTTTCATTCCATCCATGATACTTGCTCAGCCACCATTATCTCTCCTGAAACTCTCTAGTGTCTTGAGTATTTCTTGCAGCAGTCTGTTCAAAGGAAGAAAAGATGAAAGGTTTGTCTTCTCATTGCACAGTGTGAGTATGTGTATTTTAGTTATATTGATGTACCCACAGTGAACTAAGGATGGCTGGGGCAATCTCCTTAGAGTTTTGTTTTGTGAAACAGCACCACAGAGGTAGAAATCAAATTGACCTCTAAATGAAAATACTGAATGGAAAATACTTGTTCACATCTTTTTTGTTCAAAACACAAACTTCTGTAGGCATAACATACCTACTTAACACAATTTAGCTGTCTGTGCTTCAGCAGTTTGGTTGCAGTCTACTGCCAATGCAAGCAAAACACTGACTTCTGTTCTGGGGAAGTTTGGAGTCAGAAACAGGTACTGACTAAATACAGAGGAATGAGCAAAAAGGAGCAATGTATACAAAATGGAAAGGATCATATGCCTCCCCAATGCATTAAATTAGTCCAGTATTAAAGGAGATTATTCTAATAATATGTTTGGTCATCAAAAACTTAGTCCCTCCAGTGCCATTACTCTTACTTTCTGGTTGGCTTGTGGTTTCTCTGTATTTCAGGCTGGAGGAGATTGTTGTGCTGTCGTAAGACTATGCTTATGTAGTCTTGTGCACTGAATGGCACAATGTATGGTGGCTTTTTGAAAAATATAAAATGTTACCAAATTCTATCCTATTTGCCTTCTTTATGCTGCCCATGCTGGTTTGATCCTGCTACATGTATCTCCTTGTAACTACCTGTAATAAAATGTGTCAGTAAGGCTTTCAGATACAATGTGGGTTCTTGTAAGGCTAGTTTTTGCTTTCTTGCTGATCAAAGCATTGTCAGGAAGGTAAGGATTAGAACTTCACAGTGCTAGCAAGTGATGGAATTGGAGGCCCTCATGAGGAATGAGCACTTTCCAGGGCTGGTCTGTCAGTCCCTGCCACTTCAGTGCTGCAATCCTCTGCCAAACTAAATGAAAGCTTACTGAGAAACCTAACAGTCATACAATACAGAAGTATAGACATCCACATAACATAAATGCTAAAAAATTAGCTGATCAAGGGAGTAAGGCTATGTGAATGAAATGTGAAGCAGAAGGACTTGTAGTAGTCCAGCTACAAGAGTGTGACCAGAAGGATTGCTTCTTTTTCCAAGCTGACCTGTCATTTTGCCAAGGCTGTTTAGCTGCCCTGCCATATTAATTAATGCCTCTTATTTCCTGGCATGTGCTGTGCCATACCAGTCTTATTTATCTTCTTTAATGAACATCTTTGAGATGTGTTTTGATGATAACTGTCTATATGGAGTATGATACTGGCAACTTCAACTTTTTATTAACTTGCTTTGCTAAATGGGATTAAATCAAATTTATGTAATTGAACCAGGCTCCTTTAAAGACCTGTCACACACAGAGTCTGGTCATTAGCAAATGTACTAGGACCAGCCTTGTTACAGCAGCAAAAAGTAACCTGCTGAGAAGGAATTTATGTAGGAAATTATTATTTACTCACTTACATAAAACCTGTGTCCTGTGAATGGTGATGCTGAAGTTCTTGAATTCCTCTGTGGAATTAATGGGTCTGGAAATACAAAGTCATGTGCTGAAAGCAAAGTTTTCCTTCTCCATTTTGATATATGTAGTGGTGTGTTTTCAGAGGTGGGATATTTTGCATGCAATAAAAAATGTGTTTTATTTTCAGGTAAATGTAAGGAGGATATCCTCTGAGCACCTAAGTATTTTCTGTTGTAATACAGTCCAGCAGTACAGTAATTTAAGAAACGTAAATGCTGGTGGGTTCTGTGCTGTCTCAGTGAGAACTTTCACTGACAGGGATGCTTCCAACTTTTGCAGGATTCGTATGTTGATTGATGAAGGCTATGAAGACAGAATTCTGATGGCTCATGATGTGCACACCAAGAACAGGTTGATGAAATATGGAGGTCATGGATATTCACATATCCTCAAAAATATAATTCCTAAAATGCTAATTAGAGGCATATCTCAAGATAAAATTGATAAAATACTCCTAGCAAATCCAAAGCGCTGGCTGACTTTTAAGTAGGAACAATAAATAAATATGCCTGATTTATAAAGAAGCTTGATAAAATTCAGATTTCAATAGAACAGTCATTTTAAAAAATCTGAAAATCTAAAAATTAAGTAGATGCAAATAAACTAATTGTAACTTTTCTTTTTAATTTGAACATCAAAATTGTGTACTGTCTCTACATTTTCTCCCTTCTGAAAGTTTGCTTATGAGTGAATTTTTACTGAGTATGAGCCTACCTACAGATTTACTAAATATTAGCCTACCTACAGAATATTTTCAACTGACATTTTAAGATAATTGTTTCAAAAGCATAAATTACTACTGTTACTGCATGTTACCTCTAAAGTACTTCTGAAGATGTGTCACCTGGAAGGAAATTTCCTTGGAAGGAAATTATGGTTTTCAGTTAAATTTCCTGTCTTCAGGGGCTGATTTTAATCCTTGTAATACTGTCAATCTTCTCATTATCCTCATATTCTTTAAGTAATACGTGATTGAAAGGTCTGGAAGTTTTAATTAGCTTCCATAGACAAGAGAAGGCAAGAGGAATCTCAAATCAAAAAAGATAAGGTTTCTTTCCAGTTTAACAGTTTACCTAATTGTAACTGAAAATGTAAAAAATACATGGAAAGATATATTTTTGAATAAAGCATTTTGATCACCTCTTAAACTATGTGCAGTATTATTACAGATGTCTTTTTCTAATTGCATTAATTTTTCTTTCATGAACTTGATCTCACAGCAATCATGTAAAACTTGACACATACCAGCTTCTTTTTGTAAGGATGCAACACCAGCACTCAAAATATATTACATAATACAGTTTTAATGAGTTGTATTACTTATAACAAAGGTTGTGATATAAGTCTTTACAAATCAGTGTATCAAGATATGATGAAAAATGAAGAAATGTTTGCCTTATATGTGGTTTTCACATAATGTGTATTCTTTGCTCTTGTCTAACTTTAAACAGGGTAGGTGATTTATCCAAAAAAATGTGTTATCCAATAGCAGTGGCAGCCTGATTTCAGAAACTTCTTCAAATTTGACCATGTATATCTTGTAGAATTGAACTTTACCAATAAACACCGTAGTGAATGCACATTGCTGTTTGTGAATGATCTCTAGCTGTAGGTGCAGGACTGCTGGACACCACGCAGGGAATCTCTAGCTACACTGCTGGCCAGCAACAGCAACAATGGAGTGAGCAGACAAGTCAGGTACACATCTGGTACTAAAATAATTGCCTCGTAGACATTAAACAGGAGTAACCACTGCAATGTGCAGACATGAGCTGACACTTTGTCATAAGGTAAAAGCATTACCTGTCTGGTGAGATAATACACACGCAGCTGGCAGCACGATGTCCCCTTGTAAACCCTGGATGAGTTTGCCTGGCAATCCTCTCAGCCAGCCTGGGCTCACTCAGCATTTGTTTTGAATTGAACGACTCAAAACAGAAGAAGTAACACATTCTGTTTAAGAAAAAAGGTTCACTCATTCAAACGAGATTTTCAGGGAGATGTGTAAAATCTTTATCAGACTTTTGCTGAATAGCCAGCACTGGAGAGCTTTTTTGTCAGAGTGGCAGACACTTTGGAAATTTTAGTGCAGATAAATCTAAGTTTGTACCCTTACTACATTAGACAAGGTTGCTTGTGACAGAGTATATGGAATAGCAATGCTAGGGGCAGCCTCTGTTACTCTTTTATGATTTACAGAAATATTAACCTTGATTTTGCCAAAAGGTTAAAAACAACATAACACACTGTGCTAAAGAAATTTAATAATCTTGATGAAATTTAGGTTTAGAATGAAATCTGCAAGTTTTAACCTGAGAGAAATAGTCTCCCAAAACCAAAGAAAATAATAAATCCATTTTCTGAATAAAAAAAAAAATCTGTGGACATTACTGCTATGACTGATTTTAAAGCATTTTTATAACTATGTATTTCTGTTTAGTTTATTCTCCAAGCCATTAATCCTCTATGTGGATTAAGCTTCTTTGAGACTTTATATATCTATATCTATATCTATATGAATGAGAAAAATAGGTTTTAATACACACTTTATTTTTTATTTTTTTTTTTTTTTGCATGTAAATATCTGCTTCTTTCTTTGCATATGTGTTATCTTTTTTGGTAATATGCTTCTCTGTGTCCATCTCGTAGGCACACCTTACCACAAACTGGTACTAGCTTCCATGGAAAAGGTCTGTGTGACAGTATTTTCTCATGTGTCCGATCTCCCTCTCTTCCTTTGTTGGAAAAATCCCACTGACTTCAGTGAGACCAGACACCTAAGACAATGAAGGTTGTCTATATTCCTGTGAAACTCTAGTGGAACATCTGCAGTATATTAATCCATAACTACTTTATTAAAAATAGAACCCAGGTACAGACTAAGTGCTAAAAGACTAATGAAGACTAATTGCTGCAAAGAAAACACTCTGCCTTAGTCTGATGGTGTGGATGCCAGGCTTTCTAAATATTTACACAACTAACCATCAACAATGGGCCTGTAATAATTGTCTAAATATATATTTACATGTATACAAATTAAAAGTCAAATCCCTTTTCCACTAATAGCAATGAGAGTTTTGCCATTTGCTTTGGTGGAATCAGGGATATGGTCCAATATAATAGTTTGTCAGCTGTTACATTTTTCAGGGGAAAATAGTGTTTCTTCTGTCTTTTGGTTTTAGAAGACAGCTAAGGGAAAGACAAAATTTAAATAACTCCACTGGATTGATACTATGTTAGAAGTCTAATATAAACCTACAAAACAGGAACATTGAGTTAAGGCTTAAAGCTGATTAGTTTCTAGTTTAAAGTGGAAGGGTAAGAAAAGTACAAGGCAAACAACTTCTTTGCAGAAAGTATATTTTGATTACCTCTTCCTTTTATTGTAAAATCATTCCTCACCACACTATGAGTGGACTCCAAGCATCATTGTTAGCAGGTAAGTCACAAGAACCAAAGCTGAAGTATGGATAAAGCAGCAAGATCATAACACATCAAAGTATCATATACACTGAAGAAATAACTCAGCGTCCTTAGGTGGGTTTTTGTTCCCTATAAAAATTTGATCTATGTAGAACTTCATTCACATGGACACTTAACAATGAGGAAGTATTTGCTTTGGCGGAAGTGGATTGCACATCTGTTTAACTTGGTTTGTGGGTTTTTAACATAAGGTTTCTCTGTGTTGTACAGATGTGAATCAGGTAGCATTCAACTTTTTCCCCCCACTGCTGAGGTGTTCAGTGGTCACTCTCTGCTGGGGTGCTTGTTTCATTGACTTTTGCTGCGCAATCCATCACTTTAGAAGAGCAGGCTTCATTTCTTGACTGGTTTGGTGGGTCTTTTTACTCATTATCAGTCAGCATAAATAATAAATCCAGAAAATGTGCTGTATTTGTTGTTGTTTCCTCCATGTGCTTTTCCTCCATCTAATTTAATGTAAACTTCATCTCCTGGCTCCAAGTGAAGAACCACACTGTTACTGGCGTAGTCGTAGTTCTGATCAGCATCCTGAGCAATCGCACTAGCTCGAACCTACATAAAATACAGAATAACTGGTTAAGAAAACTCAGGCAATTTTTCCTGCCTGGTTAAATTAAAGCATATCCTCAAAGTTTTATTCAACATGCATGAGTTTCCACTTTAAACATCTGGCAACATATATTGTAGTTTATTCCTATGGCAATCGCTTACTTTCTCCTACTGTACTTCCGAAACTAAACCAATAATAGTCTTCTTTCTCAGTCATCTGATGAATACACAACTTCCAGATCTTCTGTAGATGTCTGGAGCCTTTTTATGTAAGAATAGCTGGAACTGGGAGAACTGGATCTGATCATGTGCCAGTTTTACATTGATGTAATTTTTGTGGCAGTGGGACAAGTGATTGACAATGTTGAGGATCCACAGGGAGGCCCACAGGGAGCTCCCAAGATGGACTTTTACCAGAAGCAGTTTATTGTCATACTAAGCAATAGGATCATGCTGCAAAAAAAGAACACAAGAGGTACACCCCTACACAGACATGCACACAAGCAGTCCAGGTTTGGAAAAAACTGCTATAACTACATTTCAGTTAGCAAATATTTAATTTCACTGTGTTTTCAGAGATGCACTTGTGAAAAAAACACACGCAAGTCACTATTCGCTGTTAAGAGGTTTTTGGAATTTACAAGTCATTGAGGGCTTTTCATTTGCAACTTTCTCTTAAACATATTTTTTTCCTATTTCTCCCTTGGTATTCCACTACTGATTAAATTTGACGTTTCTTGCAAACTGGAAGTAATCTATAATTTCAAGATATATGTTGGTGAACAGTAATGACCAGCCTTTGCCGTTGTAAGTCTCCAAATCATTTATATATAATTTGACTCTGTTTGGTAAAATATTTAAACACGGTTGTATGTGATTTATTTCAGTGTAACACGTCATCTGCTTGTTGCTTGTCTTTGTTCTAGTGTAGTTACAGAGCAGTAAATGATTTAGAGGCATTGCAAATCTGAACTAAGTAATAATGCATGACTTGGCGTACTATATGTGGGATTTTTTTCTGGTCTGAACTGAAAAAATAGGCTATAAGTCACAATTTTCCATGGATTCCTTTCAAAGTTTACATGATAAATTTCCAAATTAAATTTTCATGTGATATGATTTCACATTAATATTGAAATGTTAAAAAGGAGGGGGTTCTTTTACCATGCAGGATCTTATGGCATTATGCAGCTTAAAAATCACAGTAGGTGGAAATTCTGTATGCATCCTGTAAGAACAGTGAGAAAGGCTGCAAAGGCTTACAGAGCTGTGACAGGCTGCAAATTTAAACTGATACGTGGCATGATGATAAACCCCGACTATTTCAGGACTTCTTGGTCCTGACTTGTCTGGTATTGTTTACAGAGGTGATCTATTTTGCTCGTTTTTAAAGCAATAATTATTCTAAGTACTGGGTGTTTCCTTTGGAATAGTGACTGGCAGGGCAGAGTTGAAGGCTCTGGGCCATTAACCCTGGAAAGACCTTCCAGATAAAATAATGGACTGAGATGGTTGCCTGAAGTGGAAATGGAAAGGGCAAATGGGGAGGAGTGAAAAGGCTACAGACAATGTAGAAAAACTTTCACAGAGAAGTAGTATCTTGCGTAATGGTGAGAAAAATGGTTTGAACGACTTTTCAAATTCATGTTTACTTCCTAATGAAATGCTGCTTTGTGGATTTGTATAAAATCTTGTGGATGGTGATGGAGAATTTGAATTACATCTGTGACTATCCTAAGGGAGTCAGCATGTGGACACTGGCTACAACAGCAATGGATATTTCATTTTTAAGATTCTGCATAATACGTACTAGCTGGAAAAAATATGCTGGGTATTGAAAGTCTAGAAACCAAAATGCAGTGTGTGTAGCAACAAAGGTCCTCTATGCTATTCTTAGTGGGTTTGTCTTCTTGCTTGGTTAGCCAGAACACTTTCTTTTTAAAGCCTAGGTGAACAGTCTCAAATGAATTCTTCTCAAACGAATAGAGTGTACTGCTGCAAGAGGGTAAATGCATCTCAAAATTAAAGCATTATGAGACAATACATTTCGTAAGTTCCATGTAGGTTCTTTCATGAAGCTACACTCAGCCTGCAGACATATACCTAAGCTGTGTCA